CCGCGACAGTCGGGGACCCCGCGCCCGAATGGGCAGCAGCCTCTGATGGGGTGTAAACCCTGGAGGACAGAGCACGGGGCAGTGTGGGGACCACAGGCACCCCAAAAAATCAAAGCTGGGACGCTGAGATCAGTGTTGTCCAGGAAGGATAACCAGGAGACCTGCTTTCCTCCTGCTGTGCAGGTGAACGTTCACCCTGGAACCTAATGACGACAGCAGGAGCAGTCAGGCAAGGCAATAGGCAGCTAGAGGCGGGGATTAGAAGCCCTGAATCAGCTCCGAGCCATATTTTCAGCTTTCCAAATGCAAATCCTGGTTGTTTTTCCCATCAAAAAGGAACCATTTTTGGGCACTCCTGTGCCCCTCATCCCAATACTGAGCACAATCCTCCCGAAACCTGGGAGAGAAAAGGATAAACCAGCCCCAGGGCAGCTGGAAGGAGGCACCGTGGGGACAGGAGATTTTAAGACCCTTCCTAAATAATAAAAAAGCTTTCAGGGTGGGTTGAAACCTTCCCTGTCGATACAAGAGAGAAGCTGGCGTGGATAGAAACCTTCCTCGTTCGCACTAATTTCCTAATTGTCACCTCCCCGAAATCCAAGCCAGCTGCACACCCCGAGCTGCAGCAGAAAAAAAAAAACCAAACCCACCCAAACTGAGGCTTTTTTAAAGAGTGATTTTGGCTGCAAGAAGCGAGGAGGCCGCGGCAGGAGCAGGGCTGCCTGTGAAGCAGCTATTTTAAGGCTGTAGCTGCTTTGCTCAAAGCCTAAAGCTGGGAAGCTGCTGGGAAATGGCTCCCTGCGACACCCCACTCGCCTTCTCCTCCCCAAATCGGGGGGCACACGCTGTTATTTTACCACTTTCTCCTTTTTTTTTTACAATCCCAAAGCAGCCAGAGCATCTTTGTGGGTCTCGGAGTCTGGGGGGGTCTCCCAGCTGCATCTGCAAAGGGGGGAAAAAATAAATAAGGTTAAAAAATAAAATAATAAAAGGTGGAAATTGGGGGTTGAGCCAAGAGAGTTGAACCCTGAACCACCTCAGACTCCACTGCAGGGCTGAAATCTCACAGGCGCCCCACAATGCCCCCCAAAAATCCCCCTCCCCCGTAGGCTGCACGGTGGGGAAGTGACATTTTTTGCCGGACAGAAGCCATCCAGAGACCTCGGCCGGGGTTGAAAGCAACAGGTTAAAAGCCA